ATCTCATAACCTGTGATATTTAGAAATATGATTCATTACATAATGGGTATAAATTATTTACATGAGACGGTTTAGTTGGAAGTTATATTGAAGACATAGTAGTATAGCATAGCAATAGTGTAAATAAACTTAATAGACTGAATACAGTAAATATATATACCTTATGTGAAAGAACATTCTACAGTATTGATTATGACAACAGTTAAAACGACCGGAAACAAGTGATTACATAATGAGTAAACATTGATAAGAATACAGTGAGTATGTGCTGTGTGCTATTTATATTGACATAAGTAGTATAGGATGTTAGTCGTGAACAGAATGTTTGACAACAGCGAGACAAGAGGATCGAACAGTAAAGAATGGAAGCAGAATGCAAGAACAATGAAGTCTGAGTCATTATGAGACAATTGATGGACATTTTGCAAATGAAGCATTTACTTTATGATTGTTAGATTTTATTAACAAGTCCTGTAATTTTATGTCAAGTACATTCGATTGTCCCGACCCGTGTTCTGTTCACTACAAATAGAGCTCAGTTGATAAAATATGAATAATAATTTGGAAGATAGTTGAACTAAGATTTCAATAAGCAAAACGACGGGATACTCCAGAAATGTTGATGACATGTTTATTGTCTGTAAGAGAAAACAGCATACAATCCATTAGAACTCTTTAATAATGGTCATTCTAATAAACAATTTACTGTGGAACACAAACAGAATGACATATTACACTCTCTTCATGATGCCATAAAACGTAGGGTAGACGAGACTGCTCAACATTCGGTTCATCGAAAAAGTACTCGGAATGGAGTTTACCTGGATTTCAATAGTTTTTGTCCAATCAGTTAAAGGAAAGCATTGGTTAAAACACTATGTTTTAGAGTAGAATGGATATGTACTACCAACAAACTAGAATAAGAATTGATGAACGTTGAAAAATGCCTAAGATACAACTGCTAACTACAAAAGTTTATTGACAAATATAAAAAACGTAAAGAAAACAAGACGGAAGTATTTACGGTCAATGAAAAACCTATATCTATGAGTCTCAACGTCAAAGGTGATGACCCCGGAAACACAATTAGCAAGAAGCTGAACACCGAATTAGCTAGAACTTATCCGGCAGCCAAACTATTAATTCTGTATAAAACAACCCAATAAATAACTCACCCTCTTCATATTAACGCCAACTATATTTATAAATTTACATGTACTTGCCAAAGAAGCTATATTGGCCGAAAAGAAAGTGAAGCCTATCTTAGATTATTTGAGCATGTTCCAGAAAGCCTAAGAAAAAGAGAAAGAAAGACTCTAAACAAAGCAATCGCCAAACATTTCTTGGAAACAGGACATCAAACCGATACTTTGCAATCTTTCAAAGTGATTATTAAGCAGCCAAACTCCATTCTTTTGAAGTTTTCTGTCAGGAGTATTCCGTCATTTTGCTTATTGAGATTATATTTCAACTATCTTCCAAATTATTAATCACATTTTAGCAACTAAGCTCTACCCACTGTATTCTTATCAATGTTTACTCATTATGTAATCACTTGTTTCCGGTCGTTTAAACTGTTGTCACAATCAATATTGTAGAATGTTCTTTCACATAAGGTATATATATTTACTATATTCAGTCTATTCAATTTATCTACACTCTTGCTATACTATACTACTATGTCTTCAATATAACTTCCAACTAAACCGTCTCATGTAAATAATTCAAACCCATTATGTAATGAATCATATTTCTAAATATCACAGGTTGTGAGTTAGCTGACGACGAGAACCAGATGAAATAAACTGCTATTCATACTATTCTACTACAATCTTTTTATTCTTACTCTATTCAAACAAGGAGTATGTATTTAGGAGCATAATTAATATAACTCAGTTCAAAAAGATATTAGTTTTGAATCAATAGATAACACATCTTTTTTTTAATATACGACTGTAACCACAATTTTTGATGGTATTGTAGTGGCTGTGCTTCGTTAACCAATCACCCTCTTAACCGTTAGCATATAATCCTCAGCGGTATTTGAAATCAAAGGCTAAAAGAAGCAGTGACTACAGTTTTATTAGCAAATGACTCAGATCACAGAGCAGAGCCAAATGTGTGAGTCAGCGAATCAAAATAGTAGAGTATAGGGAAATGAATAGATCATCGAATCAATTAAGCAGCTAATAATAAAGCTAGCAGAATGAATATATGCTTAGGGGGTAAGCAATGTTCAAGCATATATATTTCATACAAGCACAATAATAATAAAGGTACAATAAGTTGTTATAGTACGGATGACTTTGTCCACTAAATAAGTTAACAAAAGGGCTTAACTGAATTAAATGAGAACAAACTCAATTGCATGTGAGTTGCTATAGTATAACAATATTTCTCCTAAAATTTTTAATATGAACTAAGTACAAATGAAAGTTAACACTCTTGAATTTTGAGTATTTGTTATATTTCTTTCTACTATGTCACAATTAATAATAACTTTGAACATTAAAACTGACTAGATCGAATAACCCGTGTTCAGGGTTGAATAATGTTCATCAATCCTTTTGAAATGAATTGACATTGATCTTATGATATACCTAACCCTATAGCAGTAAGTGAGTTAATCAATATCTGTGTCATATTCGAAAGATAATCATCAAATTATTGTCTTGCAATGAAATTTATATTTGAATTTGAAAACAAATTAAGCATCTAATTTCTAAATCATGAGTCAATTGAATTATTGTTTCTGGTAAGCGTTTTTTTAGCGAGTTACCTTTCTACGGGATGGGGACGCTAACCCCATGCCCAACTCTCCTCCTTTACCCGGGCGTGGGACCGGCAGTAACTCTAGAAGAGCTACAGGCGGAGTTGAAGCTAGACCACCATGGAAAACTCGGTTTCGCACAACCAGTAGGTCCTGGGTTCGAATCTCGCAGAAGGCGAGTTCGTGGATGCTCACTACGGAGGAGTTCCACAACAGGACAAAACGACCGTCCAGTGCTCCCAGGTTTTCCATGGTGGTTTAACTTCAACTGACTCATGATCTTAACCATTGAAATTACTATAATATACACAAAACTCATCTGATATTAATTTCTAGATGTTGAACTGTTAAAAGAAAACTTGATGGAATTTCAAAAAGATCTATTTTAAGAAAACACATTTACTAAGATTTCAGAGCTGGATCTTTATTATTAGAAAAAGTGAATTATCTCTCTCTCTACGTAAGAGTTCGCAAACATAATGTCTTAAAGAGTATTAAACTATCTAAGGAAAATATTTAATGATAGTTGATAATCGCAAAATTTGTTGATAATAGTATAAAACATCTTTTAACATGGAGACCCCCTAATTCGTACCAACGTTGGACCCAAATAGATCACATCGCTATCAGCCACCAATGGAGGGTCTCGATAGAAGACTGTGGTGTGGCAACTCGAACTGATGTACGTACGTACGAAGTTCTACGTTATTACTGACTGACTGACAACTTAAAGAGTCCGTAACCCATATACGAAAGAAAATCTTTTATAAAGATTTACTTCACGCGAACTTTACGTTTTCGACTAACTACTGTTCATTAAATAAGCTATTATATCTTAGTTAAGTCAGTTTATCTATTGATTTTACTAGTAATAAACACACACTAGAATAATAGATTAACAAATAGCTGAATTCATTCAAACTTAGTGACTGATTGGACATTTAAAATGATAAGTTATTATCAATATGAGGTCACTCACTTCTGTTCTGAGCCATGTTGATAAAAGTAGACTACTTGGTTGCAGTTCAAGCGACTATCGTAGCCAGTGGTTCAGAATCGACCACAATGGTATAGTTGAATAAAATTTTGGTCTTCTCTTAAATTGTGAGATAAAAACTACTTCCTCCGTTTTTTTTACGAACTGATTCTTTTTTTCTGTATCATATGCGAATATGAAATCTTTTTCGTTACCATTAAAGTAACTAGTTCTATGAAGTTAGTGTTCATTTTGTAATGTTAATAAGGTATGGTAAGTTGTACGTATGCATATATATATATATGCATAGTCGTAGGTCGTAGACGACTAACTGACTATCATGAATAATTAAGGATGTCATTTAATTAAATAATTGATGAATAAAACATTCTTTTTCTACAGTTTTGCATTTTCCCATGGATTAGCATAACAGTCTCATTTCATTACAATAAACAACAAATAACAATGATTAACATTTAGTTTATATGATAACACAGATAGATCAGTGTTGTTTTTCGAGTCATTACAGTGTTTATTTATAAGGCAAGTAGAAATTTATCAAACACAGAAAGTTTTTCATCTTATTTTTAGCATTATCAAAACGTTTATCAGATATATACGAAGGTCATTGTTATATTGAGAAAAAAGGAACTATTCAACATTTGGTAAATTAATATCAGAAGAAAGTTTTGTGGATATTATAGTAGTTTTAATAGTTGAGATTATGAGTGAATAGATGGTAGACAACCATGGAAAACCTAGAAGTACTGGACAGTCGTTTAATTCTATTGTGTGATTCCTCATCACTGTTCATCCATGATCCCGTCTCGTGGGAATCGAACTCAGGACCTATTGGTCTCGCGTGCGAATGCATAACCGCATCCAACGGTGTTAATATTCAACTTCAACTAATCCATGAAAAATTGAGCGAAATATCCACCATTTTCATCAGTGAGTTACTATCTCATGGCAGACCTGATTAAACTCCGCTGGTCACTGATTGTCGATAGAACTTCAGGAAATACCTCTTGAAGCCAGTCACTAGTGATCATATGTTGATAAGTATCAGACGGTGTGTGTGTGTGTGTGTGAATATTATAGTAATTTTAATAGTTGAAATTATGAGTCGTTCAGTGCTTCCAAGTTTTCCATTGTGGTCTCATTTCAATTGATTCATGATCTTAACGATTTAACATTTAACAAATTATTTGTAATTGACATAAAACCATGTTTTGTTTGTTTTTAACATTTCAGTGGAGAGATCAATTCTACAATACCAACATTTGAAGATCATGCTATTAGATCTATGAAACGTGTTACAGATAAAGTACAACAAATTATGAATATTGATCAATTAGATAATAATAATATTATGAATTCAAATGATTCTATTAAATTATTACCTCCATTAGCTAATAAAATCAATAATAATAATCAATTAAATTCTATCAATACATCACCTTTAGATATATCTCAATCATCTGTAACTAATTCAAATCATAATGATTCTAATAATTTATCAAATATACAATTATTTTCATGTTTACAACAAATTTTTTATTATATTATTGTAGCTTTTATTGTTTATAAATTATTAATTTGGTTCAATTTAAAACCAACTTTTGGTTAATCAATCAATCAATCATTCATTCAAACCAATCAAAAATCAAGAAAATAACCACACACACACACACACGCACATACAAAATATGATCAAATATACAATCTCAGGATACAAAAAAAAACATCAATCATTATTGATTATCGATTATCATCATTTTCGATCATCATCGTCAACATCGATCATTATTGATTTTATGAAATTATAATTCATTATAAAAAATTCAATTATTTTACCATATTGTTTAAATGATTTAATCATGAAATCATTATTAGATATTGTAGAGTTGATTTAATTTCTGCCCCCCTCCCTACCCAGAAGATAAATCATTCTATTGATCTATCTGTTTATGTATTCATTATTATAATTGTTCATTACTATGATTGTTTTCTCGAAGAAATGTAGATCTCATCTATTCAATATTCATTCTTTTGAATGTATACATAATTCAATGATTATATGAATTACTGATTATATCAGTAGTATATTCACACTATTATTATTATTATTATTATATATGTATATGTATATGTAATATAATAAATGAATCTATTTTCAAAATCATATCTATTTTATAATGATTCTTATTATAACAATCAGATAAAACAATGAAATGATTGTATAGTTGACATTCATTCAAAACGTATCAAATAGTAACACATAAATTGAGAAGAGAACAAGATAATGAAACATAACAATATCTATATATTACATAGTTACTATGATAAATCATAATTGAATCATTTCAATCTTATTCTTATATAATCATGAAAGAACAAAATGAAACACATCGAAAAAAAATCTGGTATTGATTCGTTTTCAGAACAAAACAAACAATTACCTAACTACTTTGTATCCAATTCAAATTTCTTCTTTTTTGTTGTTGTTGTTTTCCTCTTCTCTATGAATGTGTCCATATTGTCATGAAACAGAGCGAGAGAGATAGAGAGGGGGGGAAGAGATAAATGAATCATTTCACATTTCCACACTATTTTTTACCCTATAACATCATGTTCATTTCCTTTCACATTACATATACATAATTTGTTTTTGCTATTATTGTTGTTGTTGTCGTTATTCTTATTCCTATTAATCGATTGCATAATATTTTTTTGCAGATAATTTCAATGATAATCATTTAGTTCTTGACAATTACCAGTAGTATTGATTTGGTTATCATTTTCTTTTCTTTTTGTGAAAAACAAAACAAAAAAATTTATTATTTTTATTGTAATTTTGTTTTTATCTTTTATTTTATTTCAGAGTATTTTAATCCTTTTGTTTTGTTTTTTTTTGTTTGTGTGAAACTAAGCAAAGTAAAGAGAAGAAAAGTAAACAGAGCATAATAAAGAAGTACACTGATAATCATGTACTATTGAAGGGATATTAATAATAAAGACAATGATTTACTTTATGAATAAAACTTTCTTGATTACGTAACATTTTAAATGATTGAATAAATGACATTGAATTGATGTTTACTGTTTAATGATAAAAACTTTATTGCATATCATTTCTGTACATGAATTCAATATGTTTACTTGATATTAGTTCAATATATTCTGATTATAATATGTTGTTTATATATTAACATAATGTTGTCATGAATGAAAACAAAACCGGGAACAATCGAATATGTGTATATATGAATGTTGTCAGAAGGGGTTTGTGGAGAGTTTAAGAAATTTCACAGATTTAAATCATGAGTCAGTTGAAGCTAGACCACCATTGAAAACCTGGAAGCACTGGACGGCCGTTTCGTCCTAGTATGGGACTCCTCAGCAGTGCGTATCCACGATCCCGCACCACGCGGGGCTCGAACCCAAGACCTACTGGCTTCGCGCGCGAGCACTTAACCACTAGACCACTGAGTCGGCATCCAACGGTGTTAATGTCTAACTTCAACCAGGTTTTCAATAGTGGTCTAGCTTCAACTGACTCATGATTTAAATCTGTGAAAATTTCTAAAATCACCACAAAACTCATCTGATAAAAATCATCTGCTCACTAGTGACTGACTTCAAGAGATACTCATGGAGTTCTAGTGGGAAGCCGTCACCAGTGGAGTACAACCAGGTCTGTTGTGAGATATCAGCTCACTGAAGACAATGGTAAATGGTGGCGCAACTTCGTGGATTGGTTGAAGTTAGACATTAACACCGTTGGACGCCCCTCAGTGGTCTAATGGTTAAGTGCTCGCACGCGAAGCCAGTAGGTCCTGGGTTCGAGCCCCGCGTGGTGTGGGATCGTGGATGCGCACTGCTGAGGAGTCCCATACTAGGACGAAAGGGCTGTCCAGTGCTTCCAGGTTTTCAATGGTGGTCTAGCTTCAACAGACTCATGATTTATATATGAATGTCTTAAAAGAATCTAAGGACCATATAGTAAACACTTCATTAGAAACATTGCCAATTAATCGCCTCAATCTTGATTGTCCCTTTGTTTCCACACCGATTATTCTTTTCTATATGATCGTCTTAACCGTCTTCCGTTAGGCATCTCACTTTCGATTGATGATACATACTATTTATAACTGTTGACATCAGTAGCATACATTACAATATCAGTTCGAGTAATCATTATTGTAACAAACTGACATCAGTTGAACAAACAATAGAAGGGAATGTCCGGCGTTTTACTCGGGTTGGTGGATACAGAAATTGTGAACCAATTATTGGTGATAGGCTACCATGGGACTGCATCTCATGATGTTACTCCATTACCGTTGTCAGATGACAGCTTAGTGGTCTAGAGGTTTAGCGTTCATACGCGAGACCGATAGGTCCAGAGTTTGAATCCAACGGACCGGATCATTGATGAGCACTAGATTGAAACAGCCGTCCAGTGCTTCAGGAATTCCCATGGTGATATAGCTTCAATGGACTCATGAATCCAACCATTAAATTACTAAGTTCTCCACAGAACCCATTTCTGATAACTTATTTGTTAGAAATTCGAGTCATCTGATCAATCACATGAACTTATCATTGGGTTGATTTATGATTGGTCTAATGTGTTACAAATTATTTTCAGATAATTTTAAATTACGGCACAACAGTAACAACTGTAGACGTTGGCAAAACACTGTGACCGTAATTAATTTACGAAATAAGTAAATCATAGCTGTGTCATTCAAGGATTTGAAGAGGTAATTGACACACTACGTATCTTTACCGGTTTAAATCTAATGTTTCTAAAGGTTTTACTGAAATGAATCTTAAAGTTTTAGGGTATTTTACCAGAAGAAAAGTTTTTATTTTTGCTTAGTCCAATATTGTTGATTAATGGAACTAATTTGACAGCAATAGATTCCTCCTTTTATATATAGTATATTCACCGTTTGCCATATGGAAAAAAATAGAATTTTATGGGTTTGGTAACAGCTTTTTTATTAATCGATTGTGCTAGTGAACTCCCGATCAGGCTTATTTATAGTTCTTGATCAGTTAATTTAATCGAGTGTATGACATGTGCAATTATTGTGGTCTATTGATTTAATGCATAATCTACTTTTGAGTAACATTACTCTAAGAATGGTGTTGCCACTGGATGTTATTAATTCTTCAGAGAAGACGATGCTTAAATACTTGGATACTGAGTCGCTGAACATACTCAACTCGGAGTGGCGAGGTTTTACCAGCATCGAGCATAAACTGCACTCATTGGCAAAATCCGACTTTTTATTACTAGACTATAGTCACAAAAATGTCTTAAATGATCCAGATTGTCATGGATCGTTTTGTAATTTATTATTATCATAAGATGATGGTTAGAGGTAGTCAACCGAAACCCTATACCTAAGTTTCGTGCCACTTGTCACTCGTTAACAAGGTGTACCTGTAATCTTGAGAGAACTAATGCTTCCTGAAGGATTCAATCCCGTGTCACCTAGCATCACAGTCAGAGACGTTATCACCCCTAAGCAACATCTTATCTCAACATAGTGCGCGCAATGTCTAGTCACCTAGACTGGTGGCCACATTGCAACTTGGTTGATAGGATTCGATCTGCACTAATATAGGTAGTTATCATTGTTATTGATACAGCAAGTAGACTCAAAAAGGAGGTAATATTTTGTAAAAAAGAGAAAGGTGACGGAGAGATCTAGAGCATTCCTATAAAAAAGTTTAGAGGGGCCTTGAAAACACGGAGAAACATCTTGTCATATCAGTATTGAATAGTAGTTCCTCATGAACATCTAGGAAGTGAAGAGTCATGTGCGTTTATTTATCCTATTAAGATGTTCTAAACTAAACTTTGAGTAGAGCATTCTTTTCAAACTTCCCCCTTTTTCTCTCGTGTTCATGTTAATGTGTAGATTTACCCTGAGGTTTATTAGAAAAGCTTAAGGAACCGATTCAATTGTTCAATTAGAAGACTTATTAGCTATTCATAATGATTATAATAAAACAAGAGATTACAATAAATCTATCTCTTATCCCTTCCCCCCCCTCTCTTTTGAGAAACCCAGTAACTAACAATGAGAAAATCGAAATATTCAAATTATTCAACAATGAATCAACATTAGAAACATATTTATCACCGAAAAAGACAAGGTCTAATAGAGAACCCCGTCAAAAATATTTTTTTTCTAGAAAAAAACGAAAATATCAATGAGACTACAAAAAACCAGTGTTGAAGTGATCCAGAAAATTGCTTGCAAAAGACAAGCAAGCATCAGGAAACACTAAGAAGTGTTTCATCCAATCAGCGTTCACTTGAAGTTTTAGCCAAAATATCAAGGAAGTGAAACGTCACATGTAGAGGTTCTCATTGACTGATTACTATACTGCTACTATGTTTAGTACGCATTTCAAAATCTTCGAGCAACTCAAGGACATTTAAGAATATTATAAAAAACCCTATATTTTCTGTATTGAAATGAACATTGAAGTAAAGTACTCCTCGTATACTTTGTGTCTTCTCTCTCGTTGTTCAGATCATTGTATAATTCTAGCTTGAGGGTTACAGAATAGTTTAAGAAATGAATATAACATTCAATTAGGAAGATTTATCACAAAGAAAAACAAATCAAAGTGAAATAAAATAAAAAAGGAGAAAACAAAATTGGGTTAAATAACATTGAAAACAAACAAACAAACAAATGAAAATTTCTATTTAAACGTAGAATATAACATGAATTGTACTCACAAATGTTATTGTAATTAATTGTTTCTTTGTATAAAGGGAATTATAGATGGAGAGTGTGTGTGTGTGTATGTCACTGGTGAAGTTGCTGATGGTAGTGATACTGGTACTGGTGATATTTATCTTATTTATACATAATACATGTGTAATCTATACACAAAAAACTAAGCATTTAGATCTACATATTTATCAAGATATTTGAATCAATTGAAAGTTTTAGTGGATTGACTTATATTCTATGTGTTGATATGTACAATAATTTAAGGGTATCATACAAATCAGGGACAATAACAATGATCATTTTATTGAATATCACATGTTTAATAAAATGGGGGATAAGATAGGATGTTAGTAAGTGAGTAGTACATGTCTACTATTCAATGTTCAATATTTAACATTCAATGAGCAAATATAATTTCTTCTTACATGTTTACTATGGGATTCATAGCATAATAATCACAAGGAGAGTAGGATTACATTATACATATATATGTAGTACTTTAAGAGTACAATATAGCGGTAAATATGATGATGCACATTACCATAAATTCCATATTCAAATTGTTAAGTTTGTAGTGTTTGGTACTGTATATCAAGATCATATGGAGTATTCTGGCTTCGTAACAGATCGATTTTGTTCATTCTTTTTTTAAGTTACATTTTGACTTTGTTAATTATTCACTTGTTAACTTTGACTGTTTATATATATTGTTTTTGTGTGTAGTACTTATCCAATTCATCAGATATCTGACTATAAATATTGATTAAATCAAGTTGACTTGCCCACTTTCTCCTCTTCGATTTCCTGCTCCTTATATTTAATGTTTGTTTAGATAAACAAATACTTGAAATGAATTTATCCAACACAACCTTTGTTTGCCTTTTTCTTATTACCACCGTCATAAATATACAGTTAGTCAAGGTAATGTATAAAGTTAAAATGAAAGAGATATGTGCATAGTATATTTGTATATTCATCCAAATTGGAATCATCATCAGCGGGTCATGGTGGAAGTAGATCAATTTGTTTATTTTCATCTTAAAGATATAGGTACATAAACATTGATTACAGTGTCATCATTTTCATAACTGGATATGTTCTGATTGACTTCATGTAAATTAATATATACATCAGATAGGTTGAACAAAACAGGGATGAAGATAAAGTGTAGGTTGGAATTCATTTAAATAATTATAAGGTATTACAATATTTATTTATTGTTATTCATGAATTGAAATTTTAAAATTCTTCAATATGATTTACCGGGAATAAACCTTTTTTATTATT